GGATCGAGGTTCAAAGCCAGCCCGGGCAGGAGAGACCGTGAGACTCCTATCTCCAATAAACCACCAGAAAACCGGAAGTGGCGCTGTAGCTCAAGTGGTAGAGCGCTCGCCTTGAGCTGAAGAGCTGAGGGACAGCGCCCAGGCCCAGAGTTCAAGCCCCACGGCCGACCAAAAAAAAAAAAGAAGAAGAAGCTCAGGGGCAGTGCCCAGGCCCTGAGTTCAAGCCCCAAGATTGGCAAAAAAAAAAAAAAAAAGAATGATGCACTCATATTGTCTCTATGGACTCACCTTCCAGGCACTTCTTGAGTCAAGAGAATTTACGCTGAAATGTAACTCTGCTGAGTAACATTGCTTAGGGTAGTGTCATCAGTGATCCTTTAATTGCCAGACCCACGGAAAATGTTCAGTAGTTACTTTTCTGGACCTTTTTGATCCGTTAAGTCACCAGTCTGCCTTGTGCTCTGTTTTTATCATGGGTTCTTCACTTGCCCCCTGGCTGGATTCTACCTTTCTGAGTGATCAGATCTGCTATTCATGGTTCCAGCTCATTCCTTCCTGGTGGTGTCTTTCCACAGAGCTCCGACTCAGGATTACTCACTGCCTTTTAGACATGACTTGGATGTCTCACAGTCATTTCTTCATGGCTGAAGTAGAACTCAGACCCCTACCACCTATAAGAAAACCCTTCCTTTTATTTCCTGTCTTACCCATGCATTCAAACTAGAGAGAATAGCCTTTCTTCATCCCTAAGATAAATGTATCAGCTGAATTTTCTTCTACCAAACTCTAAAACCTCTCTCTTTTGCATTCCCACACTGGGGTCTTCATCTCTCTTAAAAACTGAGGGCTGGGTAGGTGGTAGAGTGCTTCCCTTGCATGCATGAGGGTCCTGGGTTCGATTGCTCAGCACCACATAAGCAGGAAGAGCCAGAAGTGGCACTGTGGCTCAAGTGGTAGAGCGCTAGCCTTGAGCTGAAGAGCTGAGGGACAGCTCAGAGTTCTGGCCCCACGACTGACCAAAAAAAAAAAAAAACTATTTGATCAGTTTTCTATTTTGTCACCCTGCCTATAAACACCCATCCTGAAATCCATTCACCTCACAGTCATTGGGAACTTTGTGAAAAATGTTCAAGTGGTAGAGTGTTTGCTTAGCAAGTGCTAGGCCTTGAGTTGAAACTCCCATACTAGAACACAAACAAAACCCCCCATACCTAGTGTTTGTGTCTGCCTTCAAACCTTAGGGATCAAGCCTTACTACCAGTGTACAAGAAGTGTTTGGGGTTACAAAAAAAAACTGGTAAAGGATATGGAGATGTTAATCAGTTAGCTTGTGAGAGCAAGAAATTCTGCAGGACACATGACTAATCTTAGTCAAATAAGTGGCAAAAGGGGGAAAGGAAAGCATAAGAGAACTGTGCAGAATCTTAAGAATGTGTCAATTAGATATAGTGTATTGAATCCAAATGTGAATAAACTAAGAATGGAGTGTGTGCGTGTGTGTGTGTGTGTGTGTGTGTACGTGTGTGTGTGTGAGAGAGAGAGAGAGAGACGCATGTGCGCTGGGGCTTGAGTTTGAGGCCTGTGTGCCCTCCCTGATCTTTTTTTGTTCAAGGCTAGCACTCTACCATTTGAGCCATAACTCCACTTTCAGCTTTTTGGTGGTTATTTGGAGATAAAAGTCTCATGGACTTTCCTGCCCAGACTGGCTTCAGACTGCAATCTCAGATCTCAGCCTCCTAGTAGTTAAGATTGTAAATAAGCATGAGCCATCAGTGCCTGGCTGTTTTGCCATTTCCATTATGAATGCCTGGAGATTAGGCTCCAAGATTAACTCAACTTTGCTTCCCTTACATGCCCTGCACATACCAGTGACTCCTGTAATGTCCAAGGCTTACAGATCTGCCAGGACTACCACATTCCACCCTCTACACTCCACACTCCCCATCCCGCCTACACCATTCCAGCGAAATTTTGTGAGGAGTTGAGAGTGAGGTCCAGTGTTTCCTTTGGCTAAAAGCAACCGGTATTGCAAAACTGAGTTGTTCCTTTGGAACTCTTTGCAGCTGTTTTCATGTGGCTATTGAAAGAGGGAGTGGTAGGTTTTATAATTGTTAGGGCAAAGAGGGATTCTGTTTCTAATCTGGGACAGCCAGCTGACTCATCAAATGCCTTGACCCCTGAAGTTTCCATCTTCCCCCTTAGGAAAATGGAAAACAGCTCTTGTGTTTACAGACCAGCTCAGACCTGGCTTTGTGGACTAAGGGAAATATTATAGCCCAGTGTGGCAGTTCACATCTGTAACCCTAACACAGGACTAAGATAGGAGGATCAAGAATTTGAGGACAGGGGCTGGGAAGGTGGCTCAGTGGTAGAGCGCTTGCCTTGCATGCCTGAGGCCCTGGGTTCGATTCCTCAGCACCACATAAGCAAAAAGAAAAAAAGCCAGGGGCTGGGAAGGTGGCTCAGTGGTAGAGCGCTTGCCTTGCATGCCTGAGGCCCTGGGTTCGATTCCTCAGCACCACATAAGCAAAAAGAAAAAAGCCGGAAGTGGCGCTGTGGCTCAAGTGGTAGAGCGCTAGCCTTGAGCTGAAGAGCTGAGGGACAGCGCCCAGGCCCAGAGTTCAGGGCCCACGACTGGACCCAAAAAAAAAAGAAAAAAAGCCAGAAGTGGCGCTGTGGCTCAAGTGGTAGAGTGCTAGTCTTGAGCTGAAGAGCTGAGGGACAGCGCCCAGGCCCAGAGTTCAGGCCCCATGACTAGACCCCCAAAAAAAAAAAAAAAAGAATTTGAGGACAGCCGGGGCTACATGTAATGAGATCCTGTGTCAAGGAGAAAGAATTAAGAAATATTAGCAACTTTACCACTAGCGCTCTACCACTTGAGCCACAGCGCCACTTCTGGCTTTTTTCTTTTTGTTTATATGGTGCTGAGGAATTGAACCCAGGGCCTCATGCATGCAAGGCAAGCACTCTACCACTGAGCCATCTTCCCAGCCCCACAACTTATTTTTATTTTCTCTGATCTATTAAATGGGGATGAATTTACATTCTCTAAAAAAAAACGGCATGGGTTTTATGAAAACATGCGTTAGGGCATGATTCCTTCTCTCTCCTGACCCTAGGTGGCAGTAGGGAGCCGAAAAACCTGCTTGACAGCAAAGCAGACATCCTGGTTCTTAAATTGAATGCAAGGACTGTGTTGCTTACCTCTGCCCTACAGTTCCTTTGGTCAGGCATTCCTAAGACTAACTTAGGCACCCATATATGGATTTAAAGAAAGGCTTGGCTGGGATTTTTAGAGCTCTGTACAGTCAGCTTTTATAGTTAAGAAATAAGAAAATGTGCTATGGTTGGCAAAAGTAAAGAGAGTATTACAATTTGGACGAAGATGTCTGCCACGGACCTGGGGCAGGAGAGCACCTGTACTCAGCCTCCAGGGCTACTGTGGGTTATTAAAGCTCTTTTCCCTCTTATGCAGCCAGAGGATACAATGCACAGATTGCCACATGTCACCTCCAACTCCTCTGAAATTTGTTTAGAGATAATAATTAGAATATTTAGAACTTTTTTCCCCCTGTATGCTAATACTAGAGCTTGAACTCAGGGCCTCAAGCTTTTCTTGTTTTTTTCTCCTCAAGGATGACATCCTACCACTTGAGCCATACATGTATTGTCTGCTTTTTGCTGATTAATTGAAAATTAGATTCTTAGTGGACTTTGTTGCTTAAGCTTGCTTCAAACTAATCCTCATATCTCATCCTCCTGAGGATTACCGGAGTAAGCCTCCAGTGCCTAGCTCCTTATTTATTTATTTATTTATTTATTTATTTATTTATTTATTTTGTCGGTTGTGGGGCCTGAACTCTGGGTCTGGGCGCTGTCCCTCAGCTCTTCAGCTCAAGGCTAGTGTTCTACCACTTGAGCCACAGCGCCACTTCCGGCTTTTTCTGCTAATGTGGTATTGAGGAATCGAACCCAGGGCCTCGAGCATGCAAGGCAAGCGCTCTACCACTGAGCCACCTTCCCAGCCCTGGCTGGAACATTTTTAATATCACACCACAGATGTTTAGAGTTGGTGGGAAGGAGAGAGGGTAAAGGAGAATAGAAAACAAAATGTAATAAAAGTAAACGTTAGAAGGGGACTGAGTGGAGGCACCTTCTGTGGACAGTGGTGGAGTCGTATCCTGTCAGCTGGGGAAGTAGTGTATAGATATTACCTTTCTCCTTTCTATCCTACTGTCATTTTCCCTTGTATAATTCCTGCCCTGAGCTCACAGCTTTCTATTACTATACCGCTTGCATAGGGCATTTGCCTTATTATTTTTGGTTTGTCCCAAGCTCTAGGAGACCAGAAGCCAATGAAGAGTCTCTATATTCCCCACAGCCCTTAAAGACTTTTTTGGGAGGAGGAAGGGGGATTGCGGGGCTTGAACTCTGAGCCTGAGCGCTGTCCTTGTCTTCAGCTCAAGGCTAGCTCTCTACCACTTGAGCCACAGCACTACTTCCAGTTTTCTTGTGGCTATTGGAGGTAGGTGTCTCCAGGATGTTCCTGCCAGGCTGGCTTTGAACTACGGTCCTCAGATCTCAGCCTCCTGAGTAGTTAGGAATTACAGGTGTGAGTCACTGGCACTTGGCTGAGATGGTTACAAAGACATATCTGCAAAATTATAGATGTATCCTCTGGTTTTTCTTTAGATCTGTTACTGGGAAGACCCTCAAAACTAAGTGGCCTCGGCAGCATCAAGCTGTATCCTGCGAAAAGAGACGGCTGCAAAAGCTCACCACTGAGCTCTGGGATGTCAAGTTTTTGACTGACCAGGCATAGGCCTGGAGAATCAGTGCCATAAGTGGAAATGAGGTGGTGTGGGGTCCCAGAAGTGAGGGTAGTACACCCACAGGAGAGCATTGCAAGGCGGTAGACCCCTAGTCTAAGTCTTGTTGGGAGCAGAGGAGCCCAAGACATGATCTTGTATAACTAAGTCTGTTTTTTCCATATTTTTCAGCATCTTCATGATACAGTGAAGAGGAATCTTGACAGTGCTGCCTCCCCTCAGAATGGTGATCAACAAAATGGCTATGGAGACCTCTTTCCTGGACATAAGAAGACCCGCAGGGAAGCACCTCTGGGTGTCCCTGTGTCTGCTAATGGACTACCTCCAGCCTCACCCCTTGGTCAGCCTGACAAGCCTTCCGGGGGAGATGTCCTGCAATCCAGTGGGAAGCACTCCCTGGGGCTGGACTCCATCAACAAAAAGTGTCTGGCAGACTCAAGCCTCCATTTGAATGGAGGTAGCAACCCCAGCGAGTCATTTCCTCTGAACCTGAATAAAGAACTAAAGCAAGAACCTGTCGATGACCTGCCATGCATGATTACCGGGGCAGGAGGGTCCATATCGCAGAGCAACCTCATGCCTGACCTGAATCTTAATGAGCAGGAGTGGAAGGAACTCATTGAGGAATTGAACAGGTCAGTGCCTGACGAGGACATGAAGGACCTGTTTACTGAGGACTTCGAGGAGAAGAAGGATCCTGAACCTTCTGGCTCTGCCATACAACCCCCATTGGTCCAGGACATTAATATTAAGACAGAATTCTCTCCAGCAGCTTTTGAGCAAGAACAATTAAGCTCGCCACAAGTAAGGGCCGGGTCTGCAGGACAGACCTTTCTGGCACCTTCATCTGCCCCTGTGAGCACAGACTCTTCCACCATTGGGGGCTCTCAGTCCCTGTTTCACAACTCTGGTCAGCCTGGGGCAGACAGTCCTGGTTCCAACCTGATGCTGGCATCAGCCCAAGCCCAGAATTCACAAAGAGCCCTCCCAAGTGTGGTGTTGCCCAGCCAGGGCCCTGGAGGGGCCTCAGAGCTTTCCTCTGCCCACCAGCTCCAGCAGATTGCTGCCAAGCAGAAGCGTGAACAAATGCTCCAGAACCCACAGCAAGCTGCCCCGGCCCCTGCCCCAGGCCAGATGTCCACATGGCAGCAGGCAGGACCCTCCCACAATCCTTTAGATGTCCCTTATCCCATGGAGAAGTCTTCTAGTCCTCCTGGCTATAAGCAAGACTTCTCCAACTCCAAACTGATCATGATGTCTAGTGTGACCAAGAGTTCCCCTCGGCCTGGAGCCCCCTACCTCCAGCCCAGCCATGTGAACCTACTGAGTCACCAGTCCCCGAACAGCTTGAATCAGAATGCCGTGAATAATCAAGGGTCAGTGCTGGACTACGGCAATACAAAACCCCTTTCTCATTACAAAGCAGACTGTGGGCAAAGTGGCCCAGGGTCTGGCCAGAACAAGCCAGCCTTGATGGCCTATCTTCCCCAGCAGCTGCCTCATCTGAATAACGAGCAGAACCCCTTGTTTCTGATGAAACCAAAGCCAGGAAACATGCCCTTCCGCTCACTGGTTCCACCTGGCCAGGTAAGTGCCTGGCATCTTTGCTATTCTCTGTTGCAGGTACCAATGAGGTAATGTGCTACATTGGGCTCAAGTAAGGAAGAAGCAGCTGCTGCCAGCCTTTGAATTCTATGGGAATAAAAATGCAAAGTACACTAGTTACTGTTTTCAGTACATGAGGGCTGGGAAGTTGATTCAGTGGTAGAATGCTTGCCTCACATGCATGAGGCCCTGGGTTCAATTCCTCAGCACCACATAAGCAGGAAAAAGCCAGAAGTGGTACTGTGGCTCAAGTGGTAGAGCGCTAGCCTTGAGCTGAAGAGCTGAGGGACAGAGTCCAGGCCCAGAGTTCAGGCCCCACGAATGACCAAAAACAAAATAAATAAAATTCTCTAATATAACTTGATTTTTCTTTTCTTTTTCTTTCTTTCTTCTTTTTTCTTTTTCTTTTTTTTTTTGCCAGTGCTGGGCCTTGAACTAAGGGCCTGGGCACTGTCCTTGTGCTTTTGCTCAAGGCTAGCCCTCTACCACTTGAGCCACATTCCCAGCCTTATAACTTGATTTTTAACTACACAAACATTTGCAAAATCATCTCATTTAGTCCAATGCCCCTGTCGTGTCACGTAGTTAAGCTCATTTGTAGTTGTGCTTTGGAGGTAATACACACATTTTAGGTGGTTTTTAGAGGCTTTGGGGGGGGGGGGGGGGAAATCACCTTTCAGATCTGTGTTCAATCTTTGAGCCATGTGGGTAGTATCCACCGAAGTCCAAGCTACTCAGGAGACTAAGGCAGGAGGATTTTAAGGTGGAGACCAACCTGGGGTATATAATAAGATATTGTCTCAAAAAAGAAAAATCCTCCTGGCTCATGCTTGTAATCCAAACTTCTTAAGAGGCTGAGATCTAAGAATCTTGGTTCAAAGCCAGCCCAGGCAGGAAAAGTCCATGAGACCCTTATCTCCAACTAGCCACTAGAAAACCAGAAGTGGAGATGTGGCTCAAAGTGGTAGAGTGCTAGCCTTGAGCAAAAGTGCCCAGGGACAGTGCCCAGGCTCTGAGTTCAAGCCCTAAGACTGACCACCCCCCCCACAAAAAAAAAAAAAAACAGAAACAGGCAAAAAACAAACAAACCAACCCATTAGATACCATTAAGCATGACCTGTAGACCAGAGAGCGGCATGGTGCTAACTTCAGTGGTGTCCTTTGCACTTTACAGAGGCTCCCCCGAGCTCTGCATCTTCCACAGTGGTGGACATTACAATGTTGCAGTTGATCTAAAATTACATACTCAAACAAATAAGAACCACAAAGGAGCTCAAAAAGTTGAACTTGTTTACATAAAATTGCTTTTTGTCCTTTTTCTTGCTTTCTCAGTTTTTCTAATTGTAAATAATGATGTTGGCATCATATTGTGGTAGCCCATGTATCTGATACAGTTCTCATTGATACATAGTTGGTTTGGTTTTTGTTGTTGCTTTGATGCTGATTCTGGGGCTCGAACTCTGGGCCTCTCACTCTTACTTGGCTTTTTTGTTCATGACTGGTAGTCTTAACACTTGAGCCACACCTCCACTTCTAGCTTTTTGTTATTAATTGGAAATAAGAGCCTTAACAGTTTTATCATCCTGGGCTACCTTTAAATATCCATCCTGAGATCTCAGCTCCTTAGTAGCTCAGATTATAGGCATGAACCACAGCCCCTTAGATATATCTATAGATAGATGGATAGATAGATAGATAGATAGATAGATAGATAGATAGATAGATAGATAGATAGATAGATAGATAGATAGATAGATTTTTTTTTTAACACAAACATGACAAAAGGGAGTCTGTTTCCAGAACAATGCTGGTACTCTGTACATATAATTTCAGGCTGTTTGGAGATAGTCCAAAGGCCAGATGCACACTGTCAGCATGTGGCATTTCCATCCACCAGATCCCCTTCTGCAGTCAAACATTTCAACAACAGGTTTTTATTTATCTTGCTTAAGTTGGCTTAGTGTAAAATCACATCTGTAATGCTGGTGAACCATACAGAGCAAGCTATCACTATCAAGTTGTTTGTTGAGTAGCATAGGTTTTAGTTTCTACTCAGCCCACTAGATAGCTATGGGAGGTCAGGGAAGTAGAAATTCACCATTACAAAAGATCCTTGAAGAAGGCACTCACTGGGTGAAGGTCACCTGGCAGCTCTCCCACTTCACTGCATGGTTTTATCTGTGTTGACAGGAGCAGAATCCTCCCAGCGTCTCAGGGCCAGCCCAAGCCACCAGTGTGGGGACCCAGCCACCTGCTGTGTCTGTGGCCAGCACTCATAGCAATTCCCCATATCTCAGCAACCAGCAGCAGGTGGCTGTAATGAAGCAACATCAATTGCTCTTGGACCAGCAGAAACAGAGGGAGCAACAGCAGAAGCATCTGCAGCAGCAGCAACAATTCCTGCAGAGGCAACAGCACCTTCTGGCAGAGCAGGTGATGAGAAACCTGGAAAGACCACACAGGCTCCACTTGTGGCTGTGTATTTGCACTAACATGTTTGCATGCCTGCTGCCATAGTCCTTTGTCCTTTCAAGTCTCCTTTTCAGTAGTATGGCATTTCTCAGAAGTGGCTTATGTTGGAAGCCACCCATGTCACTGAGCATTAGTGAAGGCAGAATCTCTGACTAAAACTGTCTGTATAAGGGACCTTTTCCCATCTTTCTGGTTAGCAGCTTGCAAACCACTGAACTTTGTTAGTCACTGTGCAGCTCAGCTTCATTGTGAATGGAAAGTCTGATAGAAGCAAGAGGTGAAGGGTGAAGAACATGTCCATCCCTGTGGTGCTGGGGTTATAGGATTGGGATTCACAGTCTATTTACCTGGGTACCAAGTACAGTACTGAGAGTTGGCAGGATTTTAAATTACGCCTTTTTGAGACTTGGGACCCAGCTCCCAAGAGTGAATTTGTTTGGTAGGGATTACTGCTTTAATTCTACCTTAAAAAAAAAAAAAAAAAACTAGCTGGGCGCTGGTGGCTCATGCCTGTAATCCTAGCTACTCAAGAGGCTGAGATCTGAGTATTGGGGTTCACAGCCAGCCAGGACAGGAAAGGCCATGAGACCCTTTTCTCTAATAAACCACCAGAAAACCAGAAGTGGCTTTGTGGCCCAAGTGGTAGAGCACTTGCCTTGAGTTGAAGAGCTGAGGGATATTGCCCAGGCCCAGAGTTCAAGCCCTATGACCGACCAAAGAAAACCAAACGTGCTTTTTTAGGGTGTCACTTATACAGCATATCCTTCATTTACTTCAACTGTACAATTCAGTGGGTTTTAACACATTCAGAGTTATGTAGCCATTAGCATAATCTATTTTAGGACATTTTCATTACTTAAAGGCTGTTGTTTACACACACGCACGCACACACCCACGCACGTGCGCACACACACAGGCACAGGCACACAAGAAGGAGCCTGTCTGTGAATAACATACTTGGACCTACTTTTCTCTCACCTAACTCTGCTCATTTGGGGGTTGGGTGCTGTCCCTGAGCTTTTGTAAAGGTTCAAAGTTAGCACTCTTACCACTTGAACTACAGCTGTATTTCCTGCTGTTTTGGTGGTTAATTAGAGATAATACTTTTCATGGTCTTTCTTGCCTAGGCTGACTTTGAACCAAAATCTTCAGAGCTCAGCTTTCTGGATAGCTAGAATTACAGACGTGAGCCGCCAGTTCCTGGCTGCTCTTTTTTTGTTGCTGTTGTTGTTTTAAATTTTATTGTCAAGATGATGTACAGAGGGGTTGCAATTACATAAGTAAGGTAATGAGTACATTTCTTGTCTAACTTGTTATCCCCTCCCTCTTTTTTCTTTCTCTCTCCCTCCCCCGCTGCTCATTTGTTTTTGCTTTTCTTCTTATATGAGTTTTATTATTCTGTGTTGTTCTCGGCATTTTCTAGGAGAAGCAGCAGTTTCAGCGTCATCTGACCCGACCACCCCCCCAGTACCAAGACCCAACACAAAGCACCTTCCCACAACAGGTTGGACAGTTCACAGGTAAGGCTGGAGTGGAGTGGGCTAGGGGGAATGGTGGACAGGGACTAGACCTATACCAGTCAGTCCATTTCAGCTCCCTGTTGATCTGTACAGTGCTAATTGAGTTTCTAGCTCTGCAGTAGGTGCAAAATGAATGTTCCGTTCAAGGAGCCTAGATTTTTAGTTTCCCTGTGACATCAGAAGAGGATTCTTCTGAGGTGTGAGCACTGGTGGCTCACACCTGCAATCCTAGCTACTTAGGAAGATCTGAGGATCATGATTCAAAACCACCCCAGGCAGGAAAGTCTGTGAGACTCTTATTTCCAATAAACTCAGTGGCTTCTGGCACTGTGGCTCAGGTGGTAGAGTGCTTGTCTCAAGCATAGAGAGGCTCAGGGACAGTGCCCAAGACCGGCAAAGAAAAAAAAAAAGGTTCCCAAAGGCAGACTGCTAGGCATGCTTTTGCTGGGTCCCTGGCCTTACTGTCTTTTGAAACAGAATAATTTCTGGTTGAAGGACAGTCTTTTGTGTGTGTGTATCTGTGTATGTGTGCATGTGCTGGTAACTGGGGCTTGAATGCAGGACCTCATGCTCTTGCTTAGCTTTTTCAGTTAAGGCTGCTACTCTACTACTCAGGCCTCAACTCCACTTTTGGCTTTTTGCTGGTTGATTAGAGAGAAGAGTCTCTCAGATTTGTCTGCTGTAGCTGGCTTTGAACCTTGATCCTCAGATCTCAGCCTCCTGAGTAACTTGGCTTACAAGCATGAGTCACCAGCGCTTCCTCAACTTCCTCAGCATTTTATCTTTCCCACACTCAGCCTAGCCAGCCTCTTGAATTCGGAGCCTGGAGCTCACTCCACTTTCTTGCTCACTGTTGACACGGTACCATGAGACATACCTTTATCTTTTTGCTGTTTATTTCGGAAATGGACTCTCACAGACTTTTCTGCCTAGGCTGGCTTCAGATCTTGATCCTTCAGTCTATCTCCTGAGTACTGGGGCTTGAACTCAGGTCCTCACACTATTACTTTGCTCCTTTTTTCTGATTAACTGGAGATGAAAATATCAGGGACTTTTTGCCAGGGCTGGCTTGTACCTGAGCTCCTCAGATCTCAGCCTCCTGAGTAGCTAGGGTTATAGGCACGACCCATTGGTACCTGGCCCTCAATACACTTTTTTTTTTTTTTTTTGGGCCAGTCCTAGAACTTGAACTCAGGGCCTGGGCACTGTCCCTGAGCTTCTTTCATTCAAGGTTAGCACTCTACCACCTGAGCCACAGCATCACTTCCTACTTTTTCTGTCTACCACTTGAGCCACAGCATCACTTCCTGCTTTTTCTGTTTATAAAGTGGTACTAAGGAATCAAACCCAGGGCTTCCTGCGTGCTAGACAAGCACTACCACTAAGCCACATTCCCAGCCTAGACTAAATATACTTTTAAGCCGCAGAGTGTTTGTTCCCTTCTCTCTGAAATCTTCCCCAAATTTTCCTCGTCACCTAGTTTTCAGGCTCCTGCATTTCTGCAGCCTGCTCCTCATACCCTGTGGTGCCTTTGCTTCCCAAAGGCAGATTCAGGCATGGCTCCACACTGAAACCCCCAGTACCCAGGATAGGTCGCCACTAAACAAAACTTTAGCTGGGTATCTGAAAGGTAATTGGACAAGCTGACTGGCTTTCCCTCCCTGGAGAGTCAGTCCGCTTTCTAAATCCTGTCCCTGTTTTGAGTCTGGCTTCCATTACCATCTATGAGAGACTTTCCCTCCTGCTCCGGGGCTTTCATCTAGGCAGTTTACCATTATCCTCAGAGGCCTGATATTAAAATGTTGTCCTTGCCTCAGGGAGATGGGCAGCAGCTCATATCAGAAGTGTTTCCACAGTGGCAGTCAAGGAATATCAGCTTGATTGACAGAGTCTTTTGTCCTCTAGGATCCTCTGCTGCTGTGCCTGGCATGAACAACTTGGGTCCATCCAACTCCAGCTGCCCTCGAGTGTTCCCTCAGCCTGGGAGTCTGATGCCAATGGGCCCTGGACATGCTTCCGTTTCCTCCCTCCCCTCCAACTCAGGCCAGCAGGACCGGGGTGTAGCCCAGTTCACTGGCACCCAGAACATGCCTCAGAGCAGCCTCTATGGCATGGCTTCTGGCATAACACAGTTAGTTGCCCAGCCCCCTCCACAGGCCACCAATGGACATGCCCACATTCCACGGCAGACCAGCGTGGGTCAGAACACCTCAGTACCAGCTGCTTATGGACAGAATTCTCTGGGGAGCTCTAGCCTCACCCAGCAGCACACTAAGGGGACCCTGACCTCTGGTTTAACTAAGCCACAGGTCCCAAGGGTGTCAGCAGCCATGGGAGGCCAGAATGCCTCATGGCAACACCAGGGAATACCAAACCTGAGCGGCCAGACCCCAGGGAACAGCAATGTAAGCCCTTTCACGGCAGCCTCCAGTTTCCACATGCAGCAGGCCCACCTGAAAATGTCCAGTTCGCAGTTCTCCCAGGCAATGCCCAGCAGGCCCATGGCCCCCATGAGCTCAGCAGCGGCAGCAGGGTCCATGCTGCCCACAGTGAGCACACATCAGAGGACCAGTGCCCCTGCACCTGCACCTCCCCAGGCAGCCCCCCAGCAGGGCTTGCCTGGCTTGAGCCCAGCAGGGGCTGAGCTAGGGGCTTTCAGCCAGAGCCCCACCTCCCAGATGAGCGGCCGGACCGGACTGCACTGCGCCCAGGCCTACCCTGTGCGGACCGCTGGCCAGGAGCTGCCCTTTGCCTACAGCGGACAGCCGGGCAGCAGTGGGCTCTCAAGTGTGGCTGGACACACCGACCTGATCGACTCCCTGCTGAAGAACAGGACTTCAGAGGAGTGGATGAATGACTTGGACGACTTTCTAGGGTCTCAGTAATGGAGGATTTGTGGTATTTTTAGTGTTCACATATCCTATATTTTTGTTCTCAGATTCAAGAAGGAGCAACTACTTTGGACCAAAAGCCCATAGCCCAGGGAGCTAGCAAGCATGAGTCTCAGCTGAGGCTCAGCTCCAGTCAGGATCTGCAGGGCTCCCAGGCTAGCAGTTATGGTCCATCAGGCTGGCCCCAGCCATCTGCTGGCATTACTGCCTGGTGCTGGGAGAGGAGAGCAGGATAGGATTTCAAGTGGCTTCCTACTCCGATGACCAAAAATGAACAGTAGCAGCAGTGCAACTCCATAGTGTCAGGCTTAGGAAAGTCTGTGCCATTGTGTTGACATTAAGGTTTCTCCACTGGCCTTGTGTTGGAGATAAGGTTTTTACTGAAACTTTAAATAGAATTACTTGCAATTTGTAGCATAAAAGAGATTTTAATTTTTTTTTTTTAAGAAAGGTTTTAAAACAGATTAGGCTAGGTGGTGGTTTATACTGTTTATGTGGCATTGGACCTAGGCTTTCCTTTTGATTTAGAGCCCTTTTTTTCCCTCTCTGTCAGCTTTCAGGGGAGGGGGGGTGCTGGGAAATCATTCCCTAACTAAGCACAGGCTGTGACTGCAGATGCCAAAAAGGAGCAGGATGCCGTGAGAACGTATCTGATGATCACCTAGGAGTGTTGTCCTTCTCGCTCACTCTTGAGAACCACAGGCCCTGTACCAGGCCAGATGCCGAAGAGAGAGTTTCTGGGGTCCAGTCCTCAACATGTTGTGCGTTGTCTCTGACGCCTTGTATTTAACATGGTAGGAGCATGTTCATTGTTCTGTTCTGCACAGATGGCTTTCCTCTACCCCATCCCATGACCTCTCTTTCATCCCCCCAGCCAAAATGGGAGCCGTGATTTACTACATTGGAGGAGGCAGAGAGTCGTTAAAATTCCTTAGGGAACCCTAGTATTGAAAAGGTTTAGGAGAAGAAGGCTGCAGGCCAGCCCAAGAGAAGGAATTCCACTTTGCCAGCTTCTGCCACTCCCTCCTCAGATGACTTGCACTTTTAAAAGATTGTTTTATAACACTAACGCATCCTTTCTAAAAACTCAAGTGGATTCTCTTTGAAGGTCTATTAGTTAATGGACTTGACTGAGCTGAGAACCCATAAAATAGAATATGGAGTGTGGCTTCTTTGTGGAGAACAAGAAAGAGAGCACTTGCCTGAATGAGAAGCAAGACGGTGAGTGCAGGGAGAGACCCTGAATGCAGGATGGTGGAGGGAAAGGAGTTTGCTGAAGAGTGGCTTGCATGCAGAAACCACAACCCCATCTGTATCTCCCTGGAGTATCAAGATAGAACATTCAAGGCATAGTAGAATTGAGCCATGGAAAATACTCATGTGACCAGCCTGAGTCACTTGGAGAGGATGGGAGGGTGGGACGCCCACTGTCAGTTAGTTTGCGCCAGTAGTGCCTTTTTCACTGAGGGCACTCAGGTCCTCAGAGTCTCTCTAATAGCCATTTCCCTTGCACGCCCTCCCAACCTTCCCAAGATACTCCACTTAGCTCTCAGAGAAGGGGGCAGATTATAAAGCCAGTGAAGGCTCCACTCTTAGAAAATTCCCCGATCTGAAGGGAAAGAGAGTGACTTCAGCAGGTTTTCAACCAAAAATAGGGCTGAAGGCTGGTTGTGGATCTCCATTCCTCTCCTAGACTCCCCCAGCTGCTGCCCGCCTCCTGCCTCTATCCCCGCGGCACTTGCCCCCCCCCCCCCCCCAGCACTCTGCCTTAAGCCCCAGGCTAACAAACAGTGGGCTTCTCACTTGCTGCAGTGTCATAGCAATAAAATGTGATTCTTGGGGTCTCCCCACAGAGCTGCCCACTGCTTTATTTATGAATCTAGCTTTGGGGAGTCGGGAGGAGACATTTCCGTGCACATCCCCGTCTTCCTGGAGCCAGGACTCAGAAGAAAAGGGTGCTCGGACTTTTGTTATACACATGTGCTTTGTGTAAATAAATGTTTACAATTTTATATTGAAGATGGAATAAGCGTTAGAGCTTCCGACTGTATATTTTTTACTTTTATAGATTTTAAAACTATGATCCTTTATATATGTGTTTTGGGGGGAGCTATAATGTTTTATGGCAAACAGTGGTATTGTTAACTTTTTATGGTCATCAAAAGTACATTTTAAAAATCCTATTAATCCCCTTATTCTTCTATTTCCCTTAACTATGGTATATACCAAAAAGAAATCTTTACTTTCCTTGTTTTATCAGTATAAAAATAATAAAAATATTTTGCTAGTATGGAAACTGCCTTTGTATTTGACTTTCCATGATGGATGGGACAGCAAGGAAGATTTGATACCATTAGTTTTCTGTTGTGATTTAACTTAGCTTTCTCCCCCCCTCCCCATCCCATCCCCCTCACACTATAACACTGAGGTTTGAACTCAGGACCTATAACTTGCTAGGCAAGTGCTTCACCACAGACCCAGTCCTGACTTTGCTTTCTTACTTAAGATACTTAGTTTGGTTGAAAGCTCAGCAGTATTTGTTCTGTAATACAGCTATTAAACCAACACTTTGGTTGCTCAAAGAAACCTGGATATGCGATTACCAGAAAAGTAACTGAAGCAAAAGGGATTAGGGGAATGTCTCGAGTGGCAGATGATATCTAACAAGTGTAAGTTTCTAAGTTCTAACCCCAGTATCTCAAAAAGAAAGGAAGGGATATATATGGAGGTTTCAAATACCCTGACTTGTAATAATGGTTTTGTTAGGACTCTTAAGTTATAATCCAGTTGAAAAGAAACCTGACTAATAATAATAGCCATAACAATTGCCTCCCCACAGCCATTTCTAAGGTTTTAAGCAACAGGGCCTTAGGAGAAGCAAGGGATAGGTTGTTCCAGGCGTGTGTGTGTGTGTGTGTGTGTGTGTGTGCGCGTGTGTGTGTGTGTGTGCGCGCGCGCGCGCATGGGTGAAAGACAGGCCACCAGCTCACAAGGCAATGGAAAGAGCTTCTTAAGGGATACCTGATTGAGTAGCTGCTCCTGGAACACCTGTAGCCAGGCATAGTCCCTGGTAGAGGAAGTCCAAGGGAGTAGCATCTCCAGAGGCCATCCTGGTCCACAGAACTTGCAGTCTCCATCAAAGAAGACTTCACATACAGTCCACCAAGATAGTCTGGGAGAGGTAAGTATCAGGAAGAAAGTAAAGCAGGGTAATAGAGAGGATGCTGGGGCCACTGACTACTTTGGACATTGGTGGTTAGGGCAAGTCTCTAAGAAGGTGACATTTAACTGAGGCTGGGATACTGGAAAGGCATCCTCCAGCCAAGCTCTGAAGGAAGAGGGAACAGCAAAGTATGAGGCCACATGGAATAGGAAAGGGAGTGCACCCAAAAGGAGAGGATGAATGCTCTCAAAGGGACAGGATAGGATTCTGAGAAGGCAGAGTGAGCAGATGCTCACCCCACATTTAATTGTGGTTGGTTGGTTTGATACTAGGTCTTACTCCTCAGCCCTGGCCAGCCCCCAACTCACGGCACTCCAGTTGCCTCCATTTCATGAGTGTCGGGATTATAGTACAAAGCGCTACACCAGTCTCCACATGTTAAATTTTATTTTTTAATCTGTAGTGGAGCTTGAACTCTAGGCCTGGCCGCTGTCCCTCAGCTCTTCAGCTTAAGGTGAGTGCTCTACCACTTGAGCCACTGTGCCACTTCTGGTTTTCTGGTGGTCAATTGGAGATTAAGAGTCTCACAAGCCTGTAAGAGTCTCATGCCTGTAATCCTAGCTACTCAGGAGGCTGAGATCTGAGGATCCTGGTTCAAAGCCAGCCTGGCAGGAAACTCCGTGAGACTAGTCTCCTATAAACCGGAAGTGGCACTGTGGCTAGAGCACTAGCCTTGAGCTGAAAAGCTCGGGGACAGCGCCCAGGTCCAGAGTTCAAGCCCTCCAACTTAAAGAAAGAAATGAAATAAGAAATGTACTCATTACCTTACCCATGTAATTGTAACCCCTCTGTACGGTATTTTCACAATTTAAAAAAAAAAAATGGAGGTTCCAAACCAGTTAGGGCAGGAAAGCCCCTAAGACTCTTATCTCCAACAGAAAGCCAGAGGTGGAGCTGTGGCTCAAGTGGTAGAGTGCCAGCCTTAAGCAAAAATAAAGCACAGTGCCCAGGTTTTGAGTTTTAAGTCCCTGTACAGGTGTGAGCATGCACATGTGCGCGGACACACACAAGCAAATGGTATTACATTGTCCTTTGCCCCTTTCAGGCACCTGTGTGATCAGCAACCTGTAGTGACAGCCTGTACTGTTGGAGACGGTTTGCCAGCTTAGGTAAGGCTTACTAGCCTGCCCCTCAGGAGATGCCCATGGTAAGTAGAGACAAGCTCAGGGGTGGGAGTGGAGTCTCATCTTCCATTGTCAGCAGCATTATCCATAAGAGTTTGGCCTGGAGCTAGCAATGTGGCTATAAACCTATTGGAAGATGCTAACAGGTAGCTGCTGGCAAGCTTGGTCCAAGACTCATGGCTGAAGTTCACTGAAGCGTATTCTGATACACCTCTGCCCAGCACAAGCACAGTGAGACACGGTAAATGTTCCCTATTGGACCTTTCTCCTCCTGTCTTCAAGCTGCTTTTCTTACTAGCTATAATCACACTTTAAAGAGGATTTGTTCACTGAATGGTAACAGTAAGCTGAGCTACAGCATCTTGTTACCACCTGGAGACTTGTGGATGTTGAAAAGAGGAACTTCAGCTCCCACCCAAGGTGAAAACTAATGGGGCCAAGATAGAGCTTTTGGAGTCAAGGCTGCATCAGCTTCCTGGAATGCAGTCTAGGAAGGGCGACCTAGGTTAGGAAAAATGAGGTCCTGTATGCCTCAGAAACAAATACAGCAGCTGCTGTTTGCGGAGGGGGAAGGGCTCCAGAACGTGAGCCAATCAGAATTCAGCACCATAGACCACAATGAGCAAGAACTGACCACACAGATTGCAGCCCAAAGCAGGGAAACCAGTTCCCCTGACTCAGACAGCTGTTAGCTTGCTGCTGCATGAAGTCAATGAAGAAAACTTTTTCTTTGGAAAAGCAGAACTTTGCCGGGTTTAGGGAAGGATAGCTGGATTTTTATTCTTTTTAAGTTAGGAGATCTAACTACGTTGTGTATGTCACAAGTAGCTCTTAAATTTGAAAATGACTGCATGCTGCTAGGCTCTGTCTTGTGTTACAGAAAAGAATCTGATTACTTACGAGACTACAGACTCAGCCTGAAACTTAAAACTCATCAATGGCTCCCGTCTGTAATCCTAGCTACTAAGGAGGCTGAGATCTGAGGATCAAGGTTCAAAGCCAGCCTGGGCAGGAAAGTCCGTGATACTCATTTCTAAAAATGGCACTGTGTCTCAAGACTTGGAGAGCACTGGCTTTGAGCACAAAAGCTTGAGGATAGTGCCAGGCCCTGAGTTCAAGCCCCAGGAACAACAAAAACAAAAAAACCATGATGAGATCAGGTGAAAACATCTAAATGTAGCCAGTGAGCATTTGTTTCTGAAACTTACAACATAGTTAAATCTTCTTCCTTTTTTTTTTTTTTTCCTTGCTTAGGGGTCCTGAACTCTCTGGGCCTGGGCACTGTCCCTCAGCTCTTCAGCTCAAGGCTAGCACACTACCAGTTGAGCCATAACACCACTTTTGGCTTTTTCTGCTTATGTGGTGCTGAGGAATCGCACCCAGGGCCTCATGCATATAAGGCAAGCACTCTACCACTAAGCCACCTTCCCAGCCCCTCCATTATTGTTTTTATATCTGTTGTACTATGAATTCACGCCTCTCATGAGGAAATGAGTGCTCTAAGAAGCAGTGTGTAAATCACTTTTGTCCTGATATGTGCAAAGAATATGAGTTGTAAAATGTAATAAGGCCAAGGCACCTGGCTCAGGTACTTAATTGGGTAGAGAAGTGACTAGAAAGACAAGGTTTACACTGTGAATGTAGCTGAGTGATGAGTGCTTGCCTAGCACACATGAAGCCCTGGGTTAGATTCCTCGGTACCACAAACAGAAAAAGCCAGAAGTGGCACTGTGGCTCAAGTAGTAGAGTGTGTGCCTTGAGCAAAAAAGCTCAGGGGCAGTGCCCAGGCCCTGAGTTCAAGCCCCAGGACTGGCAAAGGGGCGGGGGGGGGGGGGGAATGGAAGGAAGGAAGGAAAGGAAGGAAGGAAGGAAGGGAAGGAGGGAGGGTTTATTTCTACGGAATCCCCTCCACTTCAACTTCTCATCTTTGCTACTAAGGACAGGCATATGCCCTCTGCATGTCATAGGAGATATCTTCCATGAGGGAATTTCACCTTCTGCCTTAAAGCAGAATGAAGGTCACAAAAAGTTTCTCGCACCTACTGTTTTTAAGTGTTTTTAATGGAAAATTGTATGTCACAGTAGCCCATTTGGGGTGATACACTCTTGTTTGCACTCAGGTGGTACAATGTGATGCTTTGATTGATGTATATATTGTGTAATAATCATATGGGGTAATTAGCTTATCCATTCCCTTAAACTTTTAGCTCCACTGTCACTGGAGGCAGGAGTTAGGGTTGACATGTCTAGAATTTATGGTAAATTATTTTCTTAGTCTTGAGCTTTTTCTAGACAGTAACTAACACAAAGGCCTTAAAGCTCCAAATATAATGCTGGCCCTGACCTGTGGCTTAGGCATCTCCTCAGCTAAATTTTTTTTCTTTTTTTTGGTCGGTCGTGGGGCTTGAACTCTGGGCCTGGGCACTGTCCCTCAGTTCTTCAGCTCAAGGCGAGTGCTCTACCACTTGAGCTACAGCACCACTTCCGGTTTTCTGGTGGTTTATTGCAGATAGGAGTCTCACAGTCTCTCCTGCCCGGGCTGGCTTTGAACCGCGATCCTCAGATCTCAGCCTCCTGAGTAGCTAGGATTACAGGCGTGAGCCACCAGCGCCCGGCTTCCTCAGCTAAATTTTTGCAGTATCCACTTTACAGTGACACAAACATCCAGTGCCACCTTAACTCATAGTTCCCACCATCAGTATGGGCTAGATTAGCATTGGGTGTTTGCTGAGATAGTTCACCTCAAAGAACCCAGCATCACTCATGCTGCAGTATGTAAATCAGTTATGATCCAGCAGAAATCTCAGACAGCCATGACTGGTAACATCTGCAAAATGACAGCCTAACAGGCAAGAGAGATCTGTTAACTCAAAGATGCTTGATAATTGGTCAGTAGTAGAGCATGTGCACAGCACAAGCAGGTCCCTGGGTTTGTTTCCCAGGATGACA